AACAATGGAACGATGGTATATGACGGGTAAAAAAGCATACACGTAACGAGTCCCGCAGGTTGGCAATAGAAATACTAGCAGATAGGCAAACCACATAAGTGGTTGAAGTAAGGAGCGTCAGTGAGATAAAAGGTGGAAGTATAACAGTTTTAGGGGGGATAAAGTGGTACGACGCAAAACTGGCTAAGAAATTGTTCGAGGTCGAGAATGATGTGTATGAGACAATGGTCAATCAAACAACTGTACAAGCCGCATAGGAAAACGAAATGAGAGAAGCACACGTAAAAGTAAAAGGCTATGAACACTACACCATTGAGACCTACGCGTCGTGGCTTATCCTACCAACAGAAGAGTCATAAATTGCAAGTTCAGACGTTGGTTTACAGAAGATATTAGTTTTAGCTGATTGCAGCAATCAGCATCATTTATCTGGGACGTATTCACCATGTGATATATACCTGCTGCGTCACGAATACAGTTATCCTCCTTGGAAATGTTTACAAAATACAGATTCCACGTACCGATCACGTTTCCCATACTCCTCGTTCTGCCGATGCGTTATAAATTTATAGAACAGCTTGACTATTCCTATTGTTATTGTAGACTGTGTACAGTATTTCAAGCGAAAATCTGACACTCATTTTGCAGACCCGTGTTTTCTCGCAGAGGCAATGTTCGACCTTTACTCGTCACTTAGATATGTCACAACCACATTAACAGCTTTGATAGGCCGAGTCTCTTAGGTCAGTGTAGTATTTGTGGTGTCTACCCGTTTTTTGTGTATTGACAAGGGAAGAAAATTGTTACCTTACACAGAAACACTTTATTCATTGGTCGTTTTGTAATTATTTTCTGCTAATGTGGTGATTCCATGCTGATGACGATGGGAAAGAAGTAATTCAAGGTGCAATCGACAGCTAAGTATTTCAGAGCGTGAGTACGCTTATGCATTTTCACACACTTTTACGATAATATTCCTAGATATGATGAGGTCAAATGCTGTGGATATCAACGTGAGCAAATTCGTCAGAACTGTTCAAAATAGACCTCGTAAAGACAAAGATATAAAATTTGGTGTTAACTTTGCTTAAAAGTAGCATAAAGCCATTGATTTCAGGAATCATGTTTATTTGTTTTTCTGTGTTAATTTCAACCTAAACTGCGCCTGCAACTACTGCGTGCCAGGAATTGTGTTTACGGTTGTGCCTTGACTTGTGATGGCGTCGTCAACTGTTTCGGAATTTAAACTTAAGATGATTAATATGAAAAATCAAATCGAAAATCTGAAAAAGGAAATTGCTGACAAAGAGATTATCTTATCTAAGGAGAAAGACGCATGTGCTAAGGCGAGTTTTCACCTGTGAATTCCTCCCGCTGCTCTCAAGCATCCTATGAAAGTCCTTTCCTGAGGTTTTTTCAAAAGGTATATATGTATGTATAAATATGGCAAAATACGCGGTACTAATGCTTAGACCGATCGAAAACAGTATTAGCTTATGAAGAAGACTGCGTTTCGTCTAAGTCGTTTTTGACTTTGATGCTTCATTTTGGTTAAGGTGTGTAATGTACATAAAGCACGAGAGTCCGGACTCTTTACTATCCAATAGGACGCAATAGACCTATGGAGCTGGGAAGGGAAATAAAACCACGTAGCTGGCTGGATAGCGTTCTCACAACTACCTAGTAAGAACTACAGGTGAAGTGGTCAGAAGTTTATTTTAACACCTGTGGCAACCCAAAGGAAACAGAAAAATACAATCGAGCAAGCTTTGCGTGCGTGTGCTAGGTGACGTCAACCGGGATAGTGAGGCTAGTATCAATAAAGTTAAGCGTCTGGGAGATTTTTTCCGTTACTTCCCAGGGTTGTTCCCTCCATATATTCTACCGCAGGGAACCATGCTGCACAGGATAAAAACAGCACATTTGTCTCGCGCGCAATGCAAACGTCGACGCAGCGTTGTACCCCGCATCCTTGCCACAAGCAGAGTTCCTCAGAGGGTCTGTTCCCGGACTGCACCTCTTCCTAGCCTTCATTGATGACGTCACACCACAATTGGAGTCTCTGCTGCTGCTGCTATATGCGTGTGACGCGTAGCTGTGGCGCACGACTAACCTACAGGCCGGTGGCCGAGTGGTCTGCACTTTTGCTTTGCAACCATAGAGGCGTCCTGGCGGTATACTCAGCCCGCGCGCGACTGGTGGTGGTCGCACGGCAGCGAAGCGCTGTTTCGGCGTACAGCTGACACATTATTATTATTCTATTATGGTTATTAATTCCTTCCCATAGCCGTTTCGGAGGGCGTGGTGGGATGTCACTCTTTGAGGCTGCGTGCATTCCGTTTAAATGCCGCATAAGCCGGATGAAGATACGGCCAACACGCGAGTCAAACCCGCTATAAGTTTGCTTGGCCTTTCATTAGACCCGACCTGAACTCTTTTTACCCTATGGGTCATGTAAAGCTCGAGCTTTTATTCCCATTAAACACAATGTTCCAATGAATCATCATCATCATTATCACCAGCAGTACATCAGCCATTTGAACTGATGCTTCGCTGCCATACAACCATGAAAACCTATGAAATAAAGAATAAGAAGAGGGAGAGAAGGGGGACTTACCTGAAAACCTTAATGCCTTAAGCAAACATTCAGGGTCAAGGCGCCTACACCTTGTGTTAACAACATACCGTCACAAACAGTTGGCTATCGTGCAAAGATAAGGCGGCATCGGCGAGACAGCTTTCACTGCCACGCGTCATAATCAGTCATTACCCTGCAGATAACTCAGCAGCAAACACACTTTAAACAGGCAATCCGCTTAGGAGACGGCAGCAGACGCGCCACTGGTGTCGGTTGTGAGTCCTGTCCTGTAAAGTCTCGAGCGAAACACAAGGCGAGTCACGTGGACTCCAGCCCGGAAGATGAGACGGACCAACGGTACCCAGTTTGGTCGTCATTGTCTTCATTTCCCGTTGCCAAGTCAAGTTCTGTCCACCGCGAGCCTTGCGCCACCCTACACCTGGCAGACTAAACCAAGCCTATCTAGGTAAGCGGTGACCAGGCATACGTAGCACGTGCCCGAGCCAACGCAACTTATTCAGTACTATCTGTTGTTCTAGGGCGCCAGCATGATTATCATTACCTAGTACTCGTCTACGCACATCATTGTTGCGGACACACTGGTGCCATCCGACTCCAGCAATGCTTCGCAGACGACGAAGATCAAAGACTTGAAGGCGCCTCAGATCTTCAGACCGAAGGGGTCAAGTCTCACTACCATACAGCAGAACGGCCCTCACTGTGGCCTTGTATACCCGGCCTTTCAGACGGAAGGAAATTCCCTTCTGTTGCCAAAGATGCCGCAGGTTCAAGAAGGCAGCTCTGGCTTTTGCAATGCGTGAGCTGACGTCATTTCTATGCGCCCATCATTGCTGACGCAGCTGCCCAGACAAGTGAAATGATCAAACACCTCGAGTTCCTCGTTAGCGAACGTCAAGGGGTCATCTAGTGTTACAGGGAAGGATGGGGGATCACCGCAACACGCTGAGGTAGACGTCCGCCAGGGTTCCTAAAGGGAAGAGAGATGAGAGTGGTCTTTGGGCTCAGCCATGCTGTTCTGAGTGGTATTCCACAGGCGTCGGTTCTCGGTCCTCTACTGTTCGCAGTGTATGTTAATGACCTTCTTGACAAGTCCCAAATACCATCCTTTTTGTGCTCGGAAAATCCAAGATTATGGAGTGTAATGAGCGAATCTGAAGGTTCATTGGCTTTGCAGCTAGCTCTTGGAAAGCTGTTGGATAGTTCAGATTTGTGGCAGCCAGCAGCACATTTTTCCAAGGGCCCCTTTTTACGCATAGGATCGAGCGCAACTTCAACTCTTTATCCAATTGGCAGAAATGCATTACCGTGCGTGACCCACCAACTTGACTTAGGTGTTTCGATGTTCTCTGACTTTAACCAGTAAACGCTGAACGGCGTTTACTTGCAAAACTTTCATAATGCTCTGGATGATCATTAGATCTTTTGGGGCGGTAACCAAGATGTTTCTTATATTGCTCTCAGTTTTTGTTAAGCCATGTTTGCAATATTGCGTATAGGCCTGTTTTCCATTCTTTGTCCGCGACATGATGGTAGTTGAATGAGTTATGAAGACTGACACAAAAGTGGTGCATAGTTAAAAGATCACACCTATCGCGATAGACTGCTTAGATTGCTGATGTTTTCGTTACACTACAAGCGCCTTCGGGGTTACCTAACCCCTACGTATCGTATACAGACTGGCCAGCTTGAACCTGATCTTACTCGACTGTTCCATTTAACCCGGATACAAACTCTTCTGGGCCATTCTTTGAAGTCTGATAAGACCAGATCCGATCACGTTAGGGCTGAATTTCGTCCACCACGTAAGGTCTTATATTCATGAAGCGCACTATCCAGGAATGTACTAGCACCAACAATGAAGGAATTTGAACATCCACTCCTTGCTCTTGGGTTGGTTTCGAACCTTTCCATTTATCTCTTAACTTTCGCCTCCCTTTCCTTCTTCATCTCTTGTTTCTATTGTCTTATTTTGCACATTTATAGTGATCACACTTAGAAATATTCGGATTTTTGTTCCTCTTCTCAGCCTGTATTTTTACTCACGGGGTCGTTGGAGTGTGGACTACTACTGTATGCCACGTGGGCATTAATCGTCTGACCGTGATCCGATTCGAGTGTCTTAGCTTGGCTCTCCTCGGTTGTAAATTGATCCCCCAAACTCTGTCTTGGTTGAACGATGCATTCTCCTCCAAATTGCTTGCCTTTGTGATCCTTCACAGACCAACTAGCACTCGTGAAAGCCACATTCGTTTGGAGCGAGCCGCGTTTCGCCGAGGCCGAGGCTGCATCGATTACATCTTCACTTTCAATCAGTGGTTAGAGCAACTTCATGTGTATTGGCGGCCCACCGTTGTGTTCTTTGACACCAAAGGTGCCTTCATCATCATCATCACCAGCAGTACATCAGCCATTTGAACTGATGCTTCGCTGCCATGCAACCATGAAAACCTATGAAATAAAGAATATGAAGAGGGAGAGAAGGGGGACTTACCTGAAAACCTTAATGCCTTAAGCAAACATTCAGGGTCAAGGCGCCTACACCTTGTGTAGACAACATACCGTCACAAACAGTTGGCTATCGTGCAAAGATAAGGCGGCATCGGCGAGACAGCTTTCACTGCCACGCGTCATAATCAGTCATTACCCTGCAGATAACTCAGCAGCAAACACACTTTAAACAGGCAATCCGCTTAGGAGACGGCAGCAGACGCGCCACTGGTGTCGGTTGTGAGTCCTGTCCTGTAAAGTCTCGAGCGAAACACAAGGCGAGTCACGTGGACTCCAGCCCGGAAGGCGAGACGGACCAACGGTACCCAGTTTGGTCGTCATTGTCTTCATTTCCCGTTGCCAAGTCAAGTTCTGTCCACCGCGAGCCTTGCGCCACCCTACACCTGGCAGACTAAACCAAGCCTATCTAGGTAAGCGGTGACCAGGCATACGTAGCACGTGCCCGAGCCAACGCAACTTATTCAGTGCTATCTGTTGTTCTAGGGCGCCAGCATGATTATCACTAACTAGTACTCGTCTACGCACATCATTGTTGCGGACACACTGGTACCATCCGACACCAGCAATGCTTCGCAGACGACGAAGATCAAAGACTTGAAGGCGCCTCAGATCTTCAGACCGAAGGGGTCAAGTCTCACTACCATACAGCAGAACGGCCCTCACTGGCCTAGTATACACGGCTTTTCAGACGGAAGGAAATTCCCTTCTGTTGCCAAAGATGCCGCAGGTTCAAGAAGGCAGCTCTGGCTTTTATAATGTTTGAGCTGACGTCAGTTTCTATGCGCCCATCATTGCTGACGCAGCTGCCCAGATAAGTGAATCGATTAACCACCTTGAGCTCCTAGTTAGCAAGCATCAAGGGGACATCAAGTGGCTGGTGGTCCTGCAGCAACACTTTGCACTTTGAAGGTGCAAAGTGCATACCAAATAATGGGACTACTTTGGACAGGCTATTCAGGGTTAATTGTGTCGTCGCAACATTATCGACAAGCAAGACGATATCGTCCGCATAATCTAGGTCAACTAACCTTTCACCAGGCAGCAATTCAACGCCTACATCGTGAGATACCGCAAGGGAACGCTCCATGATAGAATCCACGACGACATTAAAGAAAAATGGGGAACTCGGACAACCCTGACGAACGCCACTTGTGGTCGGAAAGCCATCCGATAGGACACCGTAGACCCTGACGAAACCTGTAGTGTTCGAGTATAGAGCATGAAGGATGTTCACATATT